AACCTCATCCCCTTGATCCGATTAATGAAGGAAAAACGATCTGCACGACGCTACGTTCAGAACGCTGTTGAATGAACACACGAAACAAACGCGAGGTCGGCGTTTTGAAAACACCACCGCACATGTATAAGCTGCGCCAAACAAGACCAAAGTTGGACATACACCACGTGAGGGGCAACTTGTGCTCCTATGTAGAAAGCGTTATCGGGCTTAAGTCTCATGAGATTTGTGCCTCCCCGTGGGCTTGGGGTGAAATGGCTTACGTCTCTCCCCGGGGACCGCCCCAAGAATGCGTTTTTAAATAGAGAACTTCTTGCATGAATTGTCTCAAAATTATTTATCTCTAACAACTGCACAAATATTGAGAAGCCTGCATGACTTCATTTAAAATTCTTCAAAATTTGCCTTCTATTCATTTTTCTATTCAATTTGTGGATCAGATGGCAAGATTGACGTAGAAGAATCTTTCAAGTACATATGAAATGATGCTCTTATCTTTTAGTGTTTGACATTTAGTGGAATGGAATTGTAACCCCCCGTTAATATTAATTGGCGGAGAGGAAACGAGGGAACCAAAGGAATATAGGAAGATGAATTGAGTTGTTGGGAAGCCAGATAGGAGGGAGATGAAGTGAGAAGTGGGGAAATTGAAATGAGGGATCAGAAGCCTACTCGACGAGTTCACCTATAAAACGATGCGACAGAGGCGAGAGTTACTTACTGGGAGATTAGAGAGTGCTAGAGATTGAGCACAAGCCAAGGTTTCTCTGTAGCCGAATGAGGGGAAGAGCAGCAGCGACGTCAGTGTCGAGAAGGATTCGACGTCGGTATGGAGTTGTCGAAGCGGAAGGCATTGTGGAAGATGTTGCATTTCTGTAGGGGAGCTCTCGCATGCGAGATTTGTTCGAAGGGGTTCTCTTGCGAGGAAGGCTCTCGATTCAAATCTCCGCACGTAGAAAAGAGGAAGACATAGTTCTGCGGGCGTTAGGGCTCGACCGAACCTTGTCGTTCGGTTCGAATGAATTAGAGCGAGAGGGTAAGTTAAGATATTTAATTATTTGAGTTATTATATTTAATTAAAATGAAAATTCAAAAAATTATATTAAATTGATTTTAATTTTATTATCAATTGTTTAAAGGTAATCGATAAAAAAGCTAAAGCGCAAAAAAGAAAATTGTCTTGCCTGAAGGAATTCATGCATGAATCTTAATTTAAATGTTAATTATTTTCTATATGAAACTAAGTTTACAAGCCAATTTAAATGTTTCTAAGTTTAGCATGTTAATACGTTTAGGAAAATAAATTATGGTATAATATATAATAATACAAATATATGAGGCAACTTAATGTTAAGATAAAAAAAATGGCTAAATTAATTGGTTATACGTTTCATTAAAAACTAAAGAAAATTAGATGACTATATGGGTATATTAATTAAAATAACAAATTAATAGTTTTATTATGAATAACTGTGTTTATGTTAGGTTTCAAATTTTAGAAGAGTCAACGTCATATCAAATCAAATAATAAATTAATCATCATCGGGATGAATACTCATATTCTTATACTATAATAATATTTTGCTTCTTCTAGACTAAATACATTTAGTAGTACCAATATTTTTATTTTGAAATGACCGCAAACTTAGGATTTTGAATTCTGATGACTTTTTGTTAATATTGCAGGAATGACATGTTTGTACATGATTATTTAAATTATCATAAATATTGAATGATCTGTAAGTATATTAACGACTATGCAATGAGAAATGAATATTTATTGATAGAAAATAATATTTTTATTGAATGCTTGTATGTGAATGATTGACAATAACGAAACCACCTCTTGATGATACTAGTGGGGGAGCACTAAGTTACCCGTGCACGTAAGTGAAAAATTATATTGATATTGAAGTACTTTAAGTGGTACAAATTTTAGATGGTGCTCATGTTACAATTGTTCAGATGTAGAATGATATTGACATGCTATTAATATTGTAATATTTATTGAATAACATCTCAAATATTTATATTGATTTATTAAAAGCTTAACTGACATGCATGTTATTTTTCTTTTTCCTTGTATTATTGTAGTTTAGGGATATGAGTTCACTGGTTTGCTTAGCTCATTGTTATTTAAACTAACTTTTTCATGTTAATTAATTGATTAAAAGACTAGCAATAGAAAGAAAAATATTTATAAAAGACGCAACAACAAGTAACTAGGTAAATTTAATTTTATTGCTTTGATTAGTGACTTTCATTTGGTAAATAGTAAATGAATTTAAAAATCTTAGTTCCTACCATCTGATCAGTTGTCGTCTTGGTTAATTCCAAATTCCGGGCCGGATCGTGATAGGAATCAAATCTCCTAATATAAATATAAGGGAGTCTTTACTCTCATTTTCAAATTATGCTTAAGCATTTCATTTTTTTTAGTAGTGTCTGGAAGCGTTGATTGTTTCATTTAGAGGATTTTTACTCGTGTTCCATGTGAGCTTTCAAGTACTTCAAGGATTCTTGTAGGTTTTATTTTCATCTCTCATTTAATATATTTTTTGTTATTAAACTTTTTGCATCTTTTTCATGTAATTATTTTTTTGCTTCTACAAATTAGTTATCCTATTAAGTTATATTAGGTTCTTTTTTATGCTCTGTTTAGGTTCCATGTTAGTCGAAAATATGATAGTCTTCCAGCATCATCTTTGCATAGGGGTCTATTTTGCGAAACCTGGGTCTACCCATAGACCCATTGTGCTATGAAAATGCATTTCGGTGGTGTAAACATCACCATCTTATCTTCATCTTCTACAACATCACAAAAATAATACATATTTACGCGTTGCATTGGAATAACAAGCACAAATATTAGAGATGTCCCCACCATATTGTGAAGCTTGTGTACATGACTTATTCATTGTGTTGTGAGCATTGCATGCGAGTTTCGCTCTGCCATGCAATGTCAAATGTGTATTAAATTTTGATAATTGTGCCAATTGCATCGCAATTTTGATATGTGAGATTTTGAGTTGTGAGAAGTTATGGTTTCATGCGAGACCAATGATGATGATGAGAGGACAAAATGACGAACCTCAAATTCTGTGTTGTCGGCCTCAAGTGTGAGTAATTTTGCATTCTCACATTTGTGCGTGTACCCGGGTATGAATTGTGTTCTTTTTGTGTATTTTCACCATTTTGGATGCGATGGCGCAGTCTATTTTGCTATCGAATGTTGTTCAAGTGATCTGATAAGGTTGGGGATCTAATAAACCTCATCCTTTTGTCTTTTCTCCTCTTTTCTTTTATTCTTCTCCCTCTTTGATCTGGCATCCTTTCTACTCTTTGATTTCTATTTCACGTGTCTAGGTTATGGGGTGTGTGTGTGTGTGTGTGTGTTTGTCCAAAGTATTTAATGTGTGCTTCTATATATCAAAATGATTGAAATATCTGTCCAAACTATTTAATGTGCGCTTCTGTATATCAAAATGATTCAAATGAAATATAAAATTTATAAAAATGCTTTTGATCATTTCAGGATCTGTGAAAAATATGGTATAATTTTTGGCAGAAATTTGGAGTGTAACTTTCTAAAAATTTGTGATATAACACACAACAACCTTATTATGTCTGTCAGACAATTTTGTTTATGGGTGAGATTGTAAGGCTCATTTTCCCCTTGTTTGACATCATAACTTGCATGACCTAAGGATCTGAATGTTATGAATTTCAAAACTAACTTGGGTGGTGTCTAGCGGTATTCCCCCATCTAGAGGATATAAGACCAAGTATCAATCTTTTTTATCTTTTTTTATCTTTCATGTTTAGGCTGTTAGTCATATTGTACACTTTTCTTCAGTTGTCAGAATAACATTCCTATATATCATCTCTTGCATTGGATTAAGGATTTGTTCAAGGCAGGTGCAACTGTTTGAAGAAGCTGCTGCAGAAGAAATTGTTTTTCAAAAAACTGCTGTGATTATTATAAATTTATTTTATTTTCAAAAAGTTGGACCGCAACTTTCTGGCAGCCAATACACTTTAACAACTCAGTTTGAAAAAAAAACAGCTTTCTACACAGAAATTTCCAAAAAACAGTAAGAAAATAGTTATCCAAACATAATTGTGGTGGTAGTCTGAAAAACAAAGCAGATAAAAAGCTGTTCCAAACAAGAAGGTCTTCATGTTTGATGGTATTATAAGTCCTAATTTTAGTAATTTCTTCTAGTCTGTGGAGCCATCTCTAGCCCATTTCCCTAGGTGTTGTGAGTCATGTTCAGGCAACTCCCTCTTGCTGTTAAGGAATGAGAAGCATTGTTCTCTATGTCAGCTCTCTCAATTCTCTCTTTATTTGTTAAAAATTGTTATTCTTACCATCAACTAGTTTCTTTGAGGATTACAATGCCGGGCATCATTCTTTGAGATGTCATGAGCCCTTGAGCAGCCTCTCCTAGGAACAGTAAGACGTTGCTGTGCTACTTGGCATCACTTTCTTGTCAAGTTCAATCGATTGAGTGCTCCTTGGAATGCGTTTAAGAGAAAGCTCCACATTCGTTTGTCGATTTCGTTCTGACATTTATATCATATGCTGTCTTAATTTAATGCGGGAATCTTTTTTTGTTTATTTCTATCTAGGAGCCTTTTTTTATTTAAGGACACGTGCCAAGTTTCTTAATAGAGTGTGTATGGGTCTCATTTCCACATGTAACAAATCATATGTGCCTGGACTTGTGAATGAACCTTGATCCCACATAACAAAATAAATCTTATTTAATTCCTTGTACAATTCAAGGGGAAATATTTGGGAAGTATTTCTAATCTGTATTCCATTGATTCGTCTTTTATTTGTTTCTGGTCATAGGCGTTCATAATTTATGTAGGTAAATATATAAAATGAAAGGAATATCTCGGTTCCTTTTCCTTTGTTGTTTATATTCAAATATTTTCAAAAACTTTTTCTTTTAAGCAGAACAAGTTTGTTCTTAAAATTATGCTTTTTTCAGATAGAAGAACTCGGTAGATTCATTTCCAATCTGGTGGCAATAGTTCCTGAGGGGATGGTGGTGTTCTTCTCCTCTTTTGAGTATGAAGGACAGGTTTATAGTGCCTGGAAGGCTTCAGGCATTCTTCAAAAAATTCTCAAGAAGAAGCGTTTGTTTAGAGAACCTAGGAATAACGTGGATGTGGAGGTTGTTCTCAGGGAATACAAGGAAAGCATAAGTTCTTCAAATGGGATTTCAAAAACTCCAGGAACTTCTGGTGCAATTCTCCTTGCCGTAGTTGGCGGAAAGATTTCTGAAGGTATAAACTTCAGTGATGGAATGGGCCGTTGTGTTATCATGGTTGGACTTCCTTATCCAAGTTTATTTGATGTTGAATTGATTGAAAGAATCAAGCATATAGAATGGCTGGGAGAGACCTCACAAACAACTAGCTCAACCAGCAGAGCTAGTTGCAACTTTAACAGCAGTGGATCAGTTCAGTCTGGTTTTGATATTTTAAGAAGCTGCAAACAAAGAGGAAAAGAATACTATGAGAACTTGTGTATGAAAGCGGTTAATCAGTCAATAGGTATGAAGGTCTCTCTAAGTTCATTACTTTATGCTGGTAAGTTTTGCTTTCCACACTAATCGGTTTCTTGGTTTCAGGTCGAGCCATTAGGCATATAAATGATTATGCTGCTGTTTTATTAGTAGACTCGCGCTACAGTTGCAACTCCTCATATCAAAATTTCTCTAAGCCAACCGATAAGCTTCCCCTTTGGATTAGGGACCGCCTGGTTTTTGCTACTGGAAGTTATGGTGAAGTCCATAAACTTCTGTTTCAGTTCTATCAACATAACAGGCAGAAATTTTGCCGGTAGAATCAATCAATAAGCTACCAGTGGACTGGGAGAAGATTGGCTGGTGTAATGAAGCTGGTTTATGTGAAATTAATCTTGAAAATTCTCTCTATGGGGGAAATTTAATAACACAGCTGTTGTGCTTTGAGGTTTTGTGTTCATATGGAGCCTAATCTTTCATGGAGATGCCCCAGCCATATCAGGTCATTATCTAGTTTATCAGATTATTCAGTCTTCACTGTCGAGCGGTCATGTTCTGTTGGAATAGCAAAAGGCTTCTTTGAGTTTGATCTAGAGGAGGATATTTTCATTTATTTTACTTGATGGGATAGTATTTTCTGGTTCAGGCAATGAAATTCTAGATCTACGCCCTTTTTCTCATGGGCTTGAAGATAACAAACTCTACTCAGAGATAATTTGGAAGGTGAGTGCAATCCTGATCTTTAAAAGCTTTCAAAATTTTGTATTATACGACCAAAAAAAAAAAAAAGAAACTATGTAGGTTTGGACATTGCTTATTATTTTTAACCGCTTTATATCATGCTTTAACCTTCTTAGGATTCTCTGATGGTAAATTTTAAACTCTGCATTATGATGCTCTTTTTTTTGTACTTATTATTTTTGGGATAGATTTACTTTAGTTTTTTGCATTTAAATTCGGGAGTCCATCCAATGTTATCGAGTTATTTGTATCTAAAATTATTTCACTTAAACATGCATGCACTAAACTGAAGTGGTTTGTTTATTTGTATTGCTGGGCAAGGTGTTATTTTTGTCATTAATTTCTAGTTTCCTGGAAAAAGTGAGTCCTCTTAGATTCAACTTAAAAAGGCAGTCGTATTTTTTTTCTTTATTTTAGGTTTGATTTGATTAGGCTTTTTTCATCATAAAGGAGGTTGAGTCTAGAAGTTATTCAATATAGTAAGTTTAGATTTCATTCTAAATTTAGGTTTTTTTGGGGCCCTTTACAGACATATCACTCAATACCTATAAATTTGTCACGACTCGACCCTGAAATTTGGAGTTAACTAAGATGAGAACAAATAGTTGGACGATGAAAAATATTGTCAAACATTAACATTAGTGCGCAATAACATTTAACTAGAAAAGAATCACTAATCCACAATACATATATAAGCAATCATATAACAAATACATACGATCAACTAGTGAAATAATAACACAGATAATATAATAAAAATAACAAAATATAAAAATGGAGAGACTATTACCTATCACAATAATTATATAAAAAAACTTTCTTCTGTCAGACATATTAATCTAATAGTTTTTTTTTTAAAGCATAATTAAATAATATGTTAACTTAGTGAATAATCATCACTTTATTATGCATTAAATTTAATATTTTATGCAAATGCCCAACATGAATGCTCAAAGGTATATTTTAATAAAAAAATAAAATTATTTTTTTCTTTTTTATAAAATTGAATTTAATTGTTTTATCAATTATATTTTTATTTTCATTTATATTTTTATAATTTTTTTTAGAAGATAATTTAGGAGTACCGTCAAAACCTTTTCATTTTGTATCATAAACACAATCATTTTTTATTTTTATTTTTATTTTGTACTATAAAGAAAATAATTTTCATTTTTTTCTTTAACGTGCACGTGTACAATAGCGTTTTATGTTAGTATCATAGTAAAGGGAATTTAATGAACTAAATCATATATCTTTCATTTAGTTTGTATTTTATTTCTTTCAACAATTAATTAAATTTTTTTTTCATTTAATGCAGTGTAAAGGATGAAAAAATTAAAATCATGAGACATTCATACTATTTTCACGTATCTTTATTCAGTTATAAGAGTATTTTTATTGTTTAACGAACGGAACATGTTAAAAGAATAAAACAAATTAATATAAACCCAAATAAAGTAATAAGTACTCATCTTAATTTATTTGGAGACTTTTATAACTGCTTATTTCTTCACTTGCTTAGTCAAAGATCATTTAAATCATTCAAATTTCAATCATCTATATCACCTACCAAAACTAATTTTTTCTCTTCTTATTTAAACCCATTAAAATTATAAATATTTGTACAAAATAAAAAATATTGTAAATAATAGTTTTTTTCCTCAATTCTTCTTTTTCTTCTAACAACATAATGATCCTGGTCTTTTCAATTCTTTCATGTTATCAGTTCTTTAACATTTAGCTTTAGATATTCAACATTGCACTTAATATTAATTTATACTAATGATTTTTGGAAACAAAACTCTAACCTTTCTCCTTGAAGGCTCGATGCAGTGGTCTTTGCCAAAGATCCTTTCACTTATGTTATCTATTTTTAATTTGTAAAATAATTAACACTTAGGGGCTGTTTGGTAATGGATTTACTTTAAGTTATTAGTATTTAGTAAATTCTGTAAAACCGATTTACTAAATCTTGAATGAAAAATCGGCTGACAAACCTCTAAATCTTGCAAATCCATTTAAAACGGTCTCGGATGTTCTGCGAAAATTTATCGCGATATCAATCGCTCTCGCTGTAAATCCCGTAGATCCACCGATGCGTGGAATTTAGTATTTATGGGATTTACGGTCGAAATTCGCGAAATTCAAATTTATTAAATCCGTGCCTTCATCTTGTCCAAAATTAGGGCTGTCAAAAATTGACCCGAAACATCAACATGACTTGAACTCGACTCGAAAAATTTGGGTTAAGTTTGTCTCAAATATTTTTTGAGTCGGGTTTGGGTCAGATAATTCAACCTGTTTGTTATTCAGGTTGGCTTTGGGTTGAACCTAAAAACTCAAACATGATCTGAATAAACACGAAGCTCGGGTCTTAGTTTTTGACCAATTTATTATTCAGATAGAGTTCGTGTTGACCTTATTCGGGCAGTGGACCGTCTGACAAGATTTAGCTTAAATCCAACTTTAAATCTGTTACTAGACAACCCCTTAATTATAAAGGAAATTTAATATACATATAAGTTGTATGTTATAACACACTACCTAACCTTTTTCTATAATTGCTATGTTCGGTCCCTTAGCTGTGTGATTCCTCTTTTACCTGCACATGAAGCCGTGGCTCCATGCCTTCTCCCCTTTGGTTGGGCCTGATACCCGCTTCTTGCATTTTAGGTCACCTCTTCTCTTTCGCTCGCAAGCACATAGTGCTTTAATTTTTCTTCTTCCTCTTCGATGTCGCTCGAATCTGCACAGGAGGTGCTCAAGGCTTAGTTCGACCACATGCGGCAGGATCCCTTCTCCCGCAAGCAGAGCTTCCTTCTATAGCATCAGTATGGCATCTCCCTTACCCTAGATGCGCACAATTTCTTTCTTTGACTTCAATGGAAGAACATTACTGTTATTCTCTTTCATTCCTCTCGCTATCTTTTGAATGTGTCATTTTTGTTCGTCCCCTCTAACACTTAGGGGCTGTCTGGCAATGGATTCAGAGCGATATTTAACCTGGATGTAGGCTAAATTTTGTCAGACAGCTATTTTGGACAAAACAAGTATGTGGATTTGATAAATCCGGATTTTGCGGATTTTAGGTGTAATTCCCGGATTTACTAAATTTTGCAAATTGATGGATTTATGGGATTTACAAGAGAGAAAATCTGGATGTAGACAGGACTTCCAAAACAAGTTAAAATGGATTTATCAGATTTAGTAAATCTGTTGCCAAATAGTTTTCAGTTAATCCTAATAACTTAAAACTCATCCGTCACCATACAACCCCTTAAGGACGTAACTGCCTCTACATTTTGTTCGAACGAATAATGATTTTTTTTTTCCAGTTATTAATCTAAATTTTGCTTTTTTTACATTTACACCACCTAAATCATACATATCATCACATAAAAGATACCATCATTTTGACTTTAAAAAAGTGAAATACATATTTTCATGCAAGGGCAAGGAGATATGCATGTAAAATTGAGTTTAGGTGTTAGATATATAAATACATAGAAATTGTGTGGTTTACTGATATGCATCTAAATTTTCCTCTTTTTTTCAAAGCTATTTTTAAATAGGTACCTCAAATTTATTTATCCAAATGAGATGCCAAAATTTATACAAACAAGGATCTAGTCTTGCATTTTGATGATTTTTTGTCTGATAAATGAACAAATATCTTTGATAAAAATGATTGTAAGATTTTATTTAATTGAAAATACCTCTTACGATGTATTAAAACAAATGCAGGTTTTTTTGGGTTTAACATTCTAAAACATCTTGTGAAAATGTTTGCTTTTTAAATTTTCGAACGGGAAAAGAAGGGAATAGTTTTTATTATCAGTAGCAAAAACTTATGGCATACATTTTGACTTGCTTTTGCAAGACTATGTTGTTTGAAAGGTTCCCCCCATCTCTTGTTATATATGATGTTTGGGAAGCGGCCCGTGGCTTTGGGTGGTGACGACAAACGGCCGACGGTTGATCATGGTAGTGACAGCAAGCTGCAGTTTGCAGTGTGTTTGCAACTAACTCGTATGTAATTAAATCAAAATAAAATAGTTTTGAACTTATATGACCAAAAGCAACTATGATGAGCTATGATGGGCCAGTAGGAATCCAAGCAAGCTTAGTGGTTCTTTTTTGGCCCAACTCGTTAAGAGATACAATTCACAAGCAGCCAAATAAGTCTTTGGGTGGAAGCAATCGAGTATGAGTTGGCAGGTATGAGTTACCAGGCATGAATGTCCGAGTACGAGTAGCCGAATATGATCTACCACCTGATGAACAATGTTCATATGAGATGTAGCAGAGAAAAATTTACCCAACAACATTTTTGCCTCGCCAAAGATCGCATGTCGGCCTCAAATGTTTCGCAAATTCAAAATCCATTGTTCCAAGGATCGAATGAACCTCAGAGTAAGTTTTTAGTGCAAAAGCCCGAATAGACGTTGGATGTGACCCAATAAAGTGAGTAGAGGATATAAGGTCATATTTGATAAAAGCAGGAGACAAGACACTAGAGATAATATAATGTATACACTCAAGGTAGTTAATGAAAAATTCAAGCTTTTAGAGATCCCTGGATATTTGAGTATAATCATAGCTTATCATATTTTATAGAAAACTATTCTTATATAAAGGGGAAAAATTGTGTAAAATGAATTGAACATTTATACTAGGAAATAATAGTGTATTCATCTAGACTCTTCTCTCTCGATCACCTTTCCCTCCTTTACTAGTTTTACCCTTGAGGTGTGCGTCTATGGATAAAATAAGATTCAACATTTTAAAATGTGCGATGAGCGTGGATGATGTCGCAGGTAAGAAGATGGGCTACACAAGTGGCAGGGTTAAGCCATAGAGAAGTCACTAGTAATATTGATTGCACAACGGGATTCATCACCCAACAGATTAATGAATGAATGAGTAGGTGGAAAACATGATTTGAGAGACTTTAGTGTAGATATTAGGGGACCAAACACCCC